AATAGACCAGTGCAACCCAAGTGGGTATGAAAGGTCAAGCATACATAATGTATTATCTATTTACTGAATTTATTTAAAAGCATGGGCTGGAGCGATAGCACAGCTGTAGAGCATTTGCCTTACAAGCAGCCAACATGGCTGACCCGAGTTCAATTCCTCCGCCCCTCTCTGAGAGCCCGGCAAGCTACTGAGAGTATCTCGCCTGCATGACAGAGCCTGGCAAGCTCCCCGTGATGTATTCGATATGCCAAACACAGTAACAAGTTTCATGATGGAGACGTTACTGGGCCCGCTCAAGCAAATCGATGAACAACGGGAGGACCGTGACCATGATTTAAAAGCATGGATTATTAACCTGGCAATCTCTAATTTCAATGCAATCCTATAACACAACCTAATCATATGCCATTTTATACTGTAACTTTTTCCTCTAGAAGAAAATTGGCTTCTTTGGTGTATTACTTTTTTTTTTTTAATTTTTATTAGCCACCATGAGGTACAGTTGTAGACTTACAAATTTTGTGCTTGGGTTTCAATTATACAATGATCAAATACCCATCCCTCCACCAGTGCCCATTTCCCAACACCACGGATCCCAGTATCCCTCCCACCCCCCATCCCCCTTATGCCCCCTGCCTCTGTGACAGGGCATTCTCCTCTGTTCTCTCTCTTCTTTTGGGTGTTGTGGTTTGCAAAAGAGGCATTGAGTGGCAATCATGTTTGGTCTATAGTCTACTTTCAGCATGCTTCTCCCATACTGGGAGGATCCTCCCAACACCCTTTATTTGGTGCTCCCTTCTCTATCTGAGCTGCCTTTTCCTCTAGCATGTGTGGCTGGCCTCCAAGCCATGGAGCAAAATTCCTGGTACTAATCTCAGCCATTCTTGGGTGTTAGTCTACTATTTTCTTACTTTACGTTCCCCAGATGAATGTAATCTGTCTATGTGTATCCCTCTCTTTCTGACTCATGACATTGAAGCTAATGGTGTCTTCAAAGATGTCACGCCACTGGCCGAGCAAGTGAAAAATAGAGATAGACAAATGGGACTATCTTAAACTAAGAAGCTTCTGCACCTCAAAAGAAACAGTGACCAAAATACAAAGATAGTCTACAGAATGGGAAAGGATATTTGCCGAATACACATCCGACAAGGGCTTGATATCAAGGATATACAAAGTACTGGTTGAACTCCACAAGAAGAAAACATGCAACCCTATCAAAAAATGGGGCAATGAAATGAACAGAAACTTTCTCAAAGAAGAAATCCCAATGGCTAAAAGGCACATGAGAAAATGCTCTACATCATTAATTATCAGGGAGATGCAGATCAAAACCACAAAGAGATATCATTTCATACCACAGAGACTGGCCCACATCCACAAGAACAAAAGCAACCGGTGCTGGTGCAGATGTGGCGAGAAAGAGACCCTCCTTCACTGCTGGTGGGAATGCCGACTGGTTCAGCCCTTTTGGAAAACAGTATGGATGATTCTCAAAAAATTAGAAATTGAGCTCCTTTTTGATCCAGCAATATCACTCCTGGGAATATATCCCAGAGAGGCAAAAAAGTATAGTCGAAGTGACATCTGCACTTGTTTGTTCGTTGCAGTACTCTTGGTGTATTACTTGATGTGTTCATTACTAGAAAACTATGTAAGCAGTATTGGAACTGCTAAACTAATTTACCAATAAAAGCCTATCTACAAAACAGTATTCTATACTAGTTGGTAAACTGGCATACCTTGAGATGAATAAATCCTAAAAATATAATCTGATGAGTTTTGAAAAACAGATAGAATCTGTAAAAACATACAATCAAAATAAAACATTTCCAGTTCTCCAGAAAATTCTTTTCCAGATCAATTTCCCTTTGCCACAAAAAACCTTTTTCCCCATTTCCTTCATTGGAACAAATTTGCCTACTGTAGTAAAATACATGAAGGGAATCATAAAGTTCATAACAATTTAAGTCTTGATTTGCTCAGCATAATGTCTGTAAGATTCAATTCTAATACACAGTATATTAGCTCCTTTTTACATCTAAATACCCCCACAATTTATTTTATCAATTTCTCCACTGACAAACATCAGGGTTGTTTTCAACTTCAGGCTATTATGAATAAAGTACTTATGAGCAGTCTTAAACAAATCTTTTTTCTGGACATATGTTTTTATTTCTCTTGGTTAAATACCAAGGAGGAATTGCTGGGTAAAAGGGTAGGTGTATGTTTAGCTTTATAAAAATCTGCCAAAACTTTCCCAAAGTGGTTATAACATCTAACATCTCCACCAAGCAATGTATGAAAGCACTTATTGTTTTACATTCTAGTCAATATTTCATGTGGCTTGTCTTTATTCTTTTTTTTTTTTTTTAAGTCTACTTGGCCTACTGATAACCGATTTGTTAAAAATCTCCCATTACGGTTCTGGATCTTTCCAATATTTTCTTCTACTTTTATCAATTCTTATTTCATATAGACAGAAATACTACATTGTACAAGCCATTTCTGAGCAGCAGCAGGTGTGACCCCTGAGTGCAGAGTCAGGATTCAACCCACAGCACTACTGGGTGTTATCCAAAAATAAGACAAACAAACAAAAGAAGAATTCAAAAATTGGGCCTTCATTGTCGAGACTTTGAGATTATTATTCGAGTTATAACATCTAGGGACAAGATACTTATGTTTTTCTCTTTTCCCACTGTAATTTGGAGGTGCAGAAGTTTAAACATGATACATCTAAAGTGGACAATGCACAGTGCCACCAAAACCTGGTAACAATGGATCCTTTCCCATATTGTTCATTACTATTCCAGGGATGATCACAATTACTAATTTGCTTCTCTTTCGGGATTAGAACACAAGCCATGAGAGGGTAGGAAAATCTGCCATGCTCATTTGTTTTTCCCAGATTAACTGAAACTCAACAGATAAGTACTGTACTATTGTATGCAACTAAAATTTTTCTTTCTGAAAGTAGCAATATCAAACCTAAATTAAAGACAATGAGGAGGAAAAACTAGCAAAATAATATCTGCTCCTCAAATGCTCCTAGAAATAAGTTAAAAATACAGTAAATCTATCACTATAAGCCATAAATAGATGCAGAGTAAGTTTCCTCATCTAAGAATGAGTTTTCCAGGGCCACACAGCGCAACAGGTAGGGCATTTACTTTGGATGTGGTCAACCCAGGCTTGATCCCTGGTACCTGATATGGTCTCCCCCCCCCCCCCCCCACCAGGAGTGATCCCTGGCACCCTATATGGTCTCCTGAGACCCACCTGGAGTAATCCCTGAACAGAGAGAGAGAGAGAGAAATAAGCCCTAAGCACTGCTGGGTATGGCTCTAAAACCAAAACGTAAATGAATAAAAGTTTTATAAAGGCTTCTTGTCATACCAAGTTACAATCACATCTGTAGTCTCAAATATCTAACTCAGAGCCCCCAAACTAGTAAAATAGAGAAAAAAATTCAGATCAGTAGTAATAAGAGATGTGTGTAAAGACGGTGCTAACAGAGTTGATCCATTAAAACTTTTAGAGTATACAAGGGTGATACAAGGAAGAAGTTTCTACACTCCAGGTCTCAGTATTCTCTGATACTGTTCCATCTCAAGAAGACTTGACAATGGACGTTGCTTCATACCAGAGTAGTGTCTCATCCTGGGGCCAAACAGCCTCTTGTGGGGCCCCCAGATAGTCCAAAGAAGCCAACGCTCAAAACTAGGAAGCAAAGTGGGAGCAGGGCACAGGAAGGAAACAAGGTAAGAAGGGGGCATAGCTGGATCAAGATTGCAAAACAATGCCCCAGAGGATGGCTCAGAAATACTTGGGTGTGTGTCTGGTTATTTGAAAGATTGGAATGTTAGGTGAAGATAAGGGGTAGGGATCCCTGATGTGCTAAGATGTATTGCAAAACTCTGCTAATGCCAAAACCTAACTTAAAATCATTAAATCTACAGATAACTTCATTCTATATGTAAACATTTTTAAAGAACTTTTTGCAGTTTTGATGTATTTTTTCACAAATAAGCAAGTATCTTGTAAATCGATTTCAATTTGTTTTTTGGAAATAGGGGTTAGTCATCAGCTTGTAAAAACTCTATCACAGAAATTAATGTTCTTTACAGTATTCAATTCATTGATGTAACTTGCCTTGATCAGTCCTATCTGTAGCTATCTAATTTTCCCTTGCTTTTTCTTGACGGTTATCTCCCCTTCAACCAAGTTTTCCATGCCAAGGGTAAAGTTCTGCTACAGTGAAAACAATAAATTTATAGCACCAAGTTTCTCACTTAGCTTCAATTTGCTCATTTAGAAGATGGATTATATGTTCTACTTATCTAAGAGTGGTTATGAAAACCAAATTGGGAACATGGATGTGAAGCATCTATATGTATCCTACAGTAGACATAAAAGACAATACTTCTGACTAGGGAAAAAAAATTAGAAGTTTAAAAAATTCTGTCTCTACTATACTTACCAATCACTATAGAAATGTGAGAACAGTATATGTTTACATAAGTATATATTAAATGCAAACTACATTAGTATATATGCTTATATATGAATTAATGCTTAAACTTTATATTAAATATAAGTCTATTAATATCTAAATACAATTAAATCAAATTCTAAATCTATTAACAAATACCGTAGATGAACATTTGCTACGACGCAAATTATACTTACTCCAGTGCAAGATATAACCACGATTTTAAGTATTACCAAAGATATAATTTTAAAAATACATATATATTTTTTGGCTGCAGCATTGGGGGTTGAAGCCAGGGCTTCATCTATTCAAAAAAAGTCTCTACCACTGAGCCATATCAAAGGTTATTTTCAAAAACATTTTAAAAAGTGGCTAACAGACATCTACATTACATAGTGGGCCGCTTTACCTTTTTGATGTACAAGCTGTTCTAAACAAATAACACAATAACAAAAAATCCAATACTGCTCACTGGCTAACAAAACAACAAAGAATGTATACTCACTTCATCAGTGAGCTCTCCAAATACTGTTATGACATCTATTAAAAGACTCGCAGTATAGAAGGACTTGATCATGTTTCTGGAAGAGAGTTGGTGTAGTTTAAATGAAAAGCATTAATACATATCATTAACTATGTAGCACTGCACTGTCCTCCCGTTGTTCATTGATTTGCTCCAGCGGGCCCAGTAATGTCTCCATTGTGATTACTGTGTTCGGCATATCGAATATGTCACGGGGAGCTTGCCAGGCTTTGCTGTGAGGACAAGATACTCTCGGTAGCTTGCCTGGCTCTCCGAGAGAGGCAGAAGAATCGAACCTGGGTCGGTCGGGTAGACCACGTGCAAGGGAAATGTGCTTCTATCACTATCACTCCAGCCCATCATTAGCTACGTAGGAATAAATACTCAAAATAGCTGCTTTCAATAAACCCAGATTTTAAGAAACCCGAAACTCGTTTTGTAATGTGTTAGAAGGTAACATTCAAATTATAGGTGATAGCAATTATAGGTGATAGTTTTTGATTGGCATAGTTTTGATTCTTAGAAAATATAATCATGATATCACCAAAATCCATATCAACCCAGATGTTTTACTTTGCATTTAACTATCATAAAATAACAGATTACTGAATTAGCAGGATTGGTAATTTTTTAAATCAATATTATTGAACTAAGCTATTTTTTGGCTAAAATCAACTTAGATTTTACTAAGTGTTAAAGAATGGCAAATTAGGAAATATTTACTGAGAAAATGAATCTGCCCTGGGAGTTCTTTGTTCAGTCATATTTTTTGTAAAACAACAGGACCTCACTTGTAACCCCAAATCATTCTAAGTTTCTATAAGTAATTAAAAAAGAAATCTATCATTAATCAGGAAGTCAGAAAGCGTTCAAGAGAAAACGGAAAATTCTGACTTTAGAGTAAATATTTTTTTTAAAGCCTTTCTTTACTTACTTGTGAAAATGCCCAGCACGATCTTCATTGTCTGCATACAAAAACATTTTCAAAGCATAATTCTCCAAATGGGCACAACCTACTATTTCTTGAGTAATAGCTTCATTATCACCCAACTGTTTCTTAAGCTAAAATAAAATTAGATGGAAAGAGTATTATTTGTGATCACAAAAGTTGTATGCTGAATAGTCATTTTAAGTAAACTTACACTCATTGCTTTAAAAGATGTTAATGAAACATTGTGAAAAATATTTTTTCTGCCTCATTTTTTATTTGAAATGAAATTCAACGTTGACAAAATTTTGGAGAAACACATTCCTGATAGCCCTCAAGCCTTAGTAGTTCTAAAGCCCAAAATACCAATAATAAGATGTTCAAGTATCTATGTACTTCCGGGTATCCTAAAAGAAGAATTAGGGAATTCTTTCTTAACCAAATTAATTTACATTTTTCTTTTTTTGTTTCTAAAAATTAACAAGTTTTAATCTATTTTACTTTTAATTTCTACAGTCAATCTGAACTACAATAATACGAAACAAGATATGCAAGCAGTATATAAAAAGTTTCTTAGAATCTACTTCATTTGCATTTACAACTCAAAAGTATGATGCAAACAAAAAAAAATTGTGTCAATTTTCTCCATAGATGCAATACACTGTGGACTGCTAAGGAAGAACTGACAATATATACATGTACAAATAATGGCATTTTACATATTAAACATAAAACAAATAATCAGTGTTGAACTTACAGCTTCTAACTGATCCATTAGCTTTGATAAAAATTTACGACATTCAGGAGTTTTACTATCAATCTTCATTCCAGTTTGCATAGCATATAAACGGCCTATGGAATAAAAAAAGAGAAAAATATTATTTTTCTTTTCCATGACTGAATACATGTAAGTTATATGTTTTATCTAAATGAATTTCAGGTATTATTATTTTAGACTTTCATTTATTTATTTTTCTCTTTCCACTACTGATTTTTAAAGTTATTCATAGTTGAGTTTTAGACATTCAATTTTGCAGCATGGATCCTACCATCACTGTCCCTTCCCCCTACCAATGTTGGCAGGTTCCTGCCCACATCCTGTTCAACTTGCCCCCTGTCCTCTTGACAGCACCTTTCTAACTTGGGTTGTTAAAGTCTGGGTCTCTTGATGTCAGTGCTATTGACTCCATGTTTTGTCTACTTGGCTTTTATCATTCCTTAGCACCACCTTTGTACCTGACGCCCCTGACCTGGCCCTTGTTGCTTCTAATCTGTCTCTTCTCTGCCTCCCCTCCACTCTCTTTCCTTTTCCTTCCTATTTCTCTGGGGTCAGGTTGATCAGGGCATCCTCCTTTAAAACATTGTTTGCAACTCTTCTAAAGGATCATATCAGTGATAGCATCCTGTGTTTATCCTTCTTCTGGCTTTGTTTTATTTAACATAATGCCTTTCAGTTCCATCCATGTTGGTGCAAATTGCATATCTTCATGACCCACTTACCTGTCCTTGGACATCAAGGCTGATCCCCAATCTTGGCTATTGCACTCAGTGTTAGAGTGAATAATGGTGTGCATAAGTCCTTTTGAATGAATGCTTTTTTTTTTGTCTTGGGGATAGATACCCAAAGGTAGGTCATATGGGAGCTAAATTCTAAGTTTACTGATAATACTCCATACTGTTTTCCATGGGGGTTGGACCACACAACATTCCCTCCAGAGTAGATGAGGGTAAATGAAGATTCCTTTTTCACCAAATCCTTGCCAACAAAGGCTGTTCCCGGTATGCCTGTTGGTCATCTGTTGGTCTTCCTCAGATAACTCTCTTGTTCATTTCCTCTTCCCACTTTCCGATTTTGTTGTTGCTCTTGATCTTCATGAGTACTTTACAGATCCTGAATATCAACCCTTTTTGTGATGCACTGTGTGCAAATATTTCCTCCCATTCAGCTAGCTGATCTTTAGTTTTAGCCCATGTTTCTTTTGCTATACAGAAACTTTTACATTGTTGTAGTTCCATTTGTTTAGTTTTGATTCTGTAGCCTCTGCCAATGGCATCATATCACTGGAGACCCCTTTGAGGACTAGGTCTTGGAGAGTTCTGCCTTTATTTTCCTTAAAGATTCAGGTCTGATCTCAAAGTCCTTGATCTATTTTGAGTTGGTATGAAATATGGATCCAGCTTTAAGTTTTGCATGTTGGTTATCCAATTCTCCCAGGACCATTTGTTGTAAAAGCTGTCTTTATTTCGTGCTCTTAGCACTTTGTCAATAATTAGCTGACTATATATAAGGGCATTTATTCTTGGATATAGTCTTTAGTCTTACCCATTTTGATTTTCTTTATTACAGTACCATGTTATTTTGATCACTATGGCTTTACAATATAGATTCAAGTAAGGTTGTGAGATCCCTCCAAGTTTCTTGTTTTTCAGTATGGTTTTGGCTCTGTTGGGTCTTTTATGGTTCCACACAAACTTTATAATGGACTGTTCTAAGTTCTTGAAGATTGTTGTCTGATTTGGATTGGATTACATCGACTATATAGAATTTGAGGTAAAATGGTCATTTTGACAATGTTTATTCTTCCAATCCATGAGCATGGAATGTTTTTCCATTTCCTAAGACTTTCTTTAATTTCTTTCTTGAATGTTTTGAAGTTTTCACAGTATGGGCCTCTCTTTTGTTAAGTTGATCCCTAAGTACACTATTTTAAATGTAATAGACTCTTTGATCTCTTCTAATTCATTATTTGTATATAGGAATACAACTGATTTTCATGTACTGATTTTGTAGCTGGCCACTTTGCTGTATTGGTACTGCTTCAACGAGCATGTGTATAGATTCTTTAGGGTCGTCAATATATGTATATATATATCATTGTATTATCTGCAGTCAAAGATACTTGGCAATCTCTTTTCCAATTTGTATCCCTTTGATTTCCTTTTCTTGCCTGATTGTTGCTGCTGAGACTTCTAGAGCAATATTGAATAAGAGTGGGGCCAGGGACATCCTTGACTTGTGCCTGATCTTAGCAGAATGCTTTCAGATTTTTACCATTAATAAGAATATTGGCTATGGGTTTTTTATAGATCACTATTACTAACTTTAGGAAGGTTCCTCCTATCCTATTTTATTTTATTTTTTAATCATAAATGGGTGTTGGACTTCCTCTGCATTAACTGATATCATCACTTAATCACTTAGTCACTTAACTTCCCGTTAGTCGTCGATTTGCTCGAGCGGGTGCCAATAACGTCTCCATTTGGCCTGTCGCGTGCTAGTGTAGCCCAATGGCATCTGTTCGCTCTGGGAACATGAAGAGCCTCAAACCAATCGTTCATGATCTTCATGAAGAAGTCTGACCATCTGGTAGGTGGGCAGCCACGGGGTCTTTGACATCCCGTGGAATCCAGTCAGTAAAAGCTCTAGTCCAGCGGTCGTCTTTAAATCTCATTATGTGACCAGTCCATCTGATTTTTGATGTCTTGGCAAAAGAGACAGCGTCCCTGATTCTTGATCGCCAACGGATGTCGGAACTCTGGATTTCTTCTCTCATTTGAGTGAAACGTGATATTCCAAGCATAGCTCTTTCTATTCTTCTTTGGGAGACCTGAATAGCGTTCTCATCCTATTTTTGTAGGGCCCAGGTCTCTGAGGCATATGTTAATGCAGGAAGAACAGTGGAATCAAAGAGATGTGCCCGGAGCCAAGGCATTCCAAGTCACTCTCTTCCTCCTGCGCAGCTCGGGTGCCAGGTCATTTGTCATGTTGACTTCTCGACCTAGGTACACATAGCTGTTGCATTCGAAAATGGTCGTTCCGTTGAGAGTGAATGGGGCGTCAGGAACAAGGCTGTTTCTCATAAACATTGTCTTCGTAAGATTCAGCTGTAGTCCGACCTTTCCACACTCACGGTCAAAGTCGGCCAGCATTTGTGCCGCTTGGCTGATGTTTGGTGTTATTAAAACAATGTCATCAGCAAAGCGGAGGTGGTGTAGTTGCCGACCATCTATCTTCACTCCCATTCCTTCCCATTCCAGTCGTCGCATGATGTTCTCGAGGGTGGCACTGAAGAGTTTCGGTGAAATGGTATCACCCTGCCGCACCCCTCTCTTGACATCAACGATCACTTCTTTGTAGAATGGTGAGATCCTGGTAGTGAATCCGCAATACAGTTCATGGAGGATCTTGATGTATTGGGCTTGAATGCCCTGATTGGCTAGGGCTTCAATGACCGCTTCCGTCTCAACAGAATCAAAGGCCTTCTTTAAATCAATGAACGTTAAACAGAGCGGCATCTTGAACTCCTGAGAAACCTCAATGAGCTTGGTTATCGTGTGGATATGGTTGATGGTGCTGAATCCTTTGCAGACCTCAAAGAGAGAAGAGCAGAAGTACTGGTAGATGCGGCAGAAGCCGGGAAAAGTATTCGTTACGCCCGCCTGTCCTTCGCCAACTACAAGACCAAGATGACTGCCCTCCGACGTCCTGATGGATCCATCACATCCTCCAGAACGGCAATGGAGAAGATTATCCATGACTTCTACTCAAATCTCTTCGATAGCCATGTCCACTTGCCGACATACCAAATTCCACAGGATGGATATGTCGTTCCCAATGTTTTCCCTTCCAAAATCCGACACGCCATTTCGTCGGTAAAGAAACAAACAGCACCTGTCCCAGACAAGGTCAGACCAGAACACCTGAAGAATCTGCCGTCAGTACTCATCAATACACTGGCTCGGCTCTTCACTCGCTACCTGTCTGAATGCAAGATTCCATCCCAATGGAAAACCAGCAGCACCGTACTACTGTTCAAGAAGGGAGACATTCATGACATTGGCAACTATCGCCCGATCTGCCTACTGTCTGTCATCTACAAGTTGTTCACTCGAGTCATCCTAAATAGGATTGGCAGAACACTAGATGAAGGACAACCATGCGAGCAAGCTGGGTTCCGCAAAGGATATGATCATGTGTTTTTTTTTTTATCTTTTCTTTTAATGATGTGGTATATCATGTTCATTGATTTACATATTCTTGCATCTTTCAGATGAATCCTGCTTGATCATGGTGTATGATTTTATGATGTACTGTTCAATCTGGTTTGCAAAGATTTTGTTGAGAATTCTTTGCATCAATAATTTTTTAAAAATGGGTTGTTCTTATGGGAAGGGGGGCGTTCCGGTCTGTCCTTCATGCCCTACCGAGGTCACCAGTTGCCCCCCGCGAGCGGCTCTCCAGCACGGCCACGGCCCCAGAAGCACAAGGACTTAATGCAGAACCCGGCAGCTTGGAGCAGAAAAGTGAACGGACTATGCGTTAATCCAGGCCATCAGGTCTGTCCGGAGGGGAAAGGGTGTTGCCCCAGTCGCCTTCTCCTCTCTGGAAAGAAAGATGGCGGCCGCATGGGAGCCTTGTGGACAGCAGGTATGAGCCGGGGGACTAGGGGCGACTAAAACCTCATGGGAAGGGGGGCGTTTCGGTACGCCCTTCACGCCCTACCGAGGCCACCAGTTCCCCCCCACTAGCGGCTCTCCAGCACGGCCACGACTCCAGAGCACAGAAACCAATTTCTTAACTATCTGACTTTCAGTAGAAAAACTTCCAGGGTCAATAAGTAAAATAGCAGAAACCCAAAACCAACATATAATTCTTGAACCCAGCTGTAGAAAGCAAATCACTTCACAATGCTTTGTCAGCATGTCTGATTTGGGGGGGGGGGTAAACTCTAAATAATAGTGGTGAATCTTTTATTGAAACAATGAATCTAATCAAAGCAGATAGAGTGTTAACTAGAATTCATCTGCCCCACAGGGACTGGGAGGGGTGGGGGGTGGGGTTTTATTGGGGT